AGTATCTAAGGCCACTAGCCGTGAGAGAGACCCGTTCAGAGGACTTGTAAGCCTTATGTAATGTTAGCACAGTAAACTACGACCCCAAAGAGGGAATGTTATCTGTGATTTTATTGTAGGGGCAGCATTACACCATATAACTTATTATTTACTATTATTTATAAATACTATTATTTAGTATTTATATCCCAGGAGCATCTAGATGTTTCAAATAGGTTTCTGTGTGCTGTGCAGACCTTTGGCAAATGGCAACTAAAAGCTTGCAAAAGGACGGGGCAAACCCCGCCTTCTCTATACTGCCTTCAAAGTCAGGCAGGAGATACTGTGGCTTGCTACAAATCACGCTCTTTTGAAGATTTCATTTCTGAGAAAACATATTCAGAAACATCAACACTTTTACAAATTAAATTTTACAAATTAAAAAGAAACACTTGATGTTGTTGGAAGATAAATGTTTCATTTGAGTTTATTAAAATAATCAAAACCATTTCATTTCAAATTAGAGCACTATCAAGCTACATTTCCCATCGCAATCACTGCCTGATCAGGCTCAGCGTAGAGCTCAGAAGCCTGACGCCTTAATTATCTCCCATGAGCCAACAGTGAAAACTTCACTTTTGGAAAAACTGCATTTTTACTTTTTTTATGAAATAGCCTCATCAGAATTAAGCCATGTTCTGCCAGACGTGTTTTCCTGAATGTCAGACAAACCTCATCGAAAACTTCAGCTGATGGGTGACGTTACTGGTTACTCACAAATAATTGCTAAGGGAACATGAAGCTGGTTATGGGAACCAACTGTTTACCAGCAGCGGAGCCTGGCACCAAATGATGCTCCGTGGACGAAATCCCACTGCTTAGAACAGCGTGCCCAGTCTCCTATCCTCCTCTCCATCCCCACCGCCGGGGCAATGGCCCCAGGGTACTTTCCTCCTCCTCTCCCTGCAGGTGCCACGCTGCTCACAGCCTGGACAGGCTGTCTCCAGCGGTGCCGGGGACATCCCAGGGACACAAGTGCCAGGGCAGGGCCAGCCCCACCAGCTGCGTGCCATGGCTGTGTGCCCAGGTGTGGTGTTTCGTGAAAAGAGCTGCACGTTTATCACTTGGATAGGGACATCCTGGCACAGATCTCATCCTGGTAACAGATCTCAGCCCTTTCTTTGAGTCAATAGGACCATATAAGCTGTCTGAAGATTCGCTAGATGCCTTAGTCTGACATTTAGATGGCAACAACACCCTGCTTAACCATCTTCCCTCAGGGTGGGAAGCACATTGTAGTCCTCAGCTGCTCAGGGACTGCACAAGCCTGGCTCACCCCTATCAGATGTGTCCCCACTTATCTCTCCCCCAGAGCCCGATCTGAGGGACCGGCTGTCGC